TATATATATATATATATATATATATATATATATATACTGACTCAGGTTTCTGTCCTCTGAAAGGATAGCAAATAAACAAATGTGCATTATATGCATATATATAACATAATGTATATATATACATATATAACAACACATTATATATATATATATATATATACTGACTCAGGTTTCTGTCCTCTGAAAGGATAGCAGCCGTGCAGCATGGCGTAGAGAACCACCCCGAGAGACCACATATCAGCGGGGGGTCCCTCGTATTCTTTTTTTTTGAGTATTTCAGGAGGCATATATGAAGGCGTTCCGCAGGCCATTCGGCACTTTACCCCTGGCTTTAATAAACTTGCGAACCCAAAGTCTATTACTCGAACTCTTCCTATAACATCAGCAGTTCAATATGCATATATACATCATCTTCTACACAAATACAAGTGAATAACTTGCTTGTTCGGATGCTTGCTGGCTAGCTAGCTATTTATCTAGCTAGCAGGCTACATAGCTGGCTAGCTAACTATTTCGGTAGCTACTTGCCTAGCTAGCTGGTTGGGTGGGTAGGTGGTTAGGGGGACAGATATCTAGCTAGGGAGCTAGGTAGCTAGCTTGCTAGCTAGCTGTCGAACTCCTTAGCTAGCTACCTAGGTAAGGAGCTAGCTAGCTGGCTGTCCTGTAGGCAGAGCCCCTGGCTGCGAGTTGACGCCGGCAACAAGCAACGAGAAGCCCTGGGTTCTGTAGCTAGCTGCTAGCTAGCTGTGAGCTAGCTGTTGGGTCGTCATATGCTGGCTAGCCAGCTAACTAGCTATTCATTTGCTAACTATATGTTGACTAGCTAGCTACCTAGCTAGCTAGGTATGTAGCTAGCTAGCTAGCTAGCTAGCTAGCTAGGCCGATAGGTAGGTGGTTAGATAGCTGGTGAGTAGGTGAAGATTGAGAGAGTATATATATATGTATATATATGTGTATATAGAGTTTGTCTTTCCTTTTTCATCAAGAAGTAGATTTTCTAGTTTGAGGTCTCTGTGGACAATTTGCTGAGAATGAAGATAAGCCACGCCTTTAACAACATCGAGGAAGAGCCGTTTAGCTGCAGCTTCAGAGAGCTTGCCTTTAGGGTTTCTCTGAACAAGAGCATATAGAGAGCCCCCACTTAAATGCTGCATTACTATATATAAAGCCTGGCTCTCATTAAAGCTTCCCCCGTATTTTACTATATTTTCATGATGAAGACGCCGCATTATTTGCACTTCGCGAGTTATCAAAGCCTTCTTCTCTCTCTCCATTGTATGAAAACCAGAATATATCTTTACTGCTACTGAACGCCCCGTTGTCTACACACACACAATATACTTCTTTATTTAATTATTTAGTTTCTTGTTCGTTTAGATTTCTATCTATGTATGTATGTCTATATATATGTATGTTCGTTCATACAGTTTATCTTTACTGCTACTGAACGCCCCGTTGTCTACACACACACATAAATATATATACATATATATACATGTTTATATAATTTATATATCTATATACATATATATATATATTGTATATATATATATATATATCTATATATGTCGTTTATTTGTTTTTTATTTCCTTTTCATTGCATTTGTAATTGTTTATTTATTTATGTGTTTGTTTGTTTGTATTTTTGTTTGTTTATATCTCTGCATTTATTTATTTGTTTATTTCTATCACCTTTTGATTGTATTATCTTTATTTATTTATTTATTAATTAATTTATTTATTTTTATTTCTATTTGCTTGTTTATTTTTGTTTCTGAGAATTTGTTTGTTTCTCCGCTTCCCCTTGCAGTAATTAATTTATTCTTTTACAATAAAAACATTTATTATTTATTTATTTATTAATAAACAAATATATAATATTTATTTGCTTAATAGTTTCTAAACAATTATTCTTTTATCTTACTTTATGTACTGCAAGGTGTACAGGGGCATAAGCCCCTTTGCCTAAGACCGGGCCTAAAGCAAAATGCTCAGTAAATTTATTTCGCTCAACTTCAGCAGGTGCTGCGCTCTGCAGCAGCAGCAGCAGCAGCAACAGCAGCGGCAGCATAAGCAGCAGCAGCAGCATAAGCAGCAGCAGCAGCAGAAGCAGCGGAACAGCAGAAGCAGCAGAAGCAGAAGCAGAAGCAGAAACAGCAGCAGCGGCAGCGCAAGCAGCAGTAACAGCAGCGGTAGCTGCAGCGGTAGCAGAAGCAGCAGCAGCAGCGGCAGCAACAATAGTAGTACGAGTAGGAGTAGGAATAGTAGTAGAAGAAGTAGTAGTAGTAGCAGCAGCAGCAGCAGCTGCAGCAGCAGCAGCAGTAGTAGTAGTGGAAGAGGAGGAGTAATTGGGGCAGCAAATGTAGCAACAGCAAATGCAGGTGTACATACACCTCAAAACAAACACAAGTAAATCATTACAACAAACAAGGAGACAGAGACAGAGACAGCAGAAGCAGCAGCAACAGCAACAACAGCAACGGCAGCAAAAACAAACAAGACAACGAAGAAAAAACAGAGGTCTCACCAGACCCACGAAGACAGACAAAGCAAAAGGACGAAGCATCCATGCAGCAGCATTGCATGCAACAGCAGCGGCAGCAACAGCAGCAGCAGCAGCAGCAGCAGCAGCAAAAGAGACCGCTAAGGCGGCTCCAAACGGAGACGAGCTGTTCTTAAACAATTCATTAACAATGCATATACACATATATACACACATATATATAATATATATTACATAAGTATTTGCATATACTTATATATACATAGAAATAATATATATATATATATATATATATATATATTATTTATTGATATTAGTTTTATGCTCGTCTTACAATATGAATGTTTGCTCCTATCGGACCCTCTGTGTGCTTTACCAGCGCTTCCTCTTCTCGTTGTTTTGTTTGCTGCTGTTCTTGCTGCTCTTTTGTTTGTCTTTGCTGCTGCTGGTGCTCCTCCTTTGTTTGCCTTTGCTGCTGCTGCTGTTGCTGCTGCTGCTGCTTAGACTGCAAGACGGGGGGCCCCGCAGCAGCAAAAAACAGTTCTTTCTCATCTGATAGCCCCCGCAGCAGCGAGCCAGCAGCAGCAGCACACCCAACCTCATCTCTCTGCATGCATGCATTTGTGCAGCAGGGTATTCTTTTTCAGTTGCTGTTTTCTTTGCATGCGGCTTCATCGCATTTAAATCTTCAGAAGAGAGGAGAGCAATCAACGGGGTAGCAGCTGCCTATGGCTAGCTGTGCACAACGCCTCCTGATAAAACCTGCTGCTGCTGCGGCTGCTGTTGCTGCTGCTGCTGCGGCTGCTGTTGCTGCTGCTGCTGCTGCTGGACTGTCTGTATGGTGCATGAAATGTTTGCAGCGGATGAAGCTCTTAGACTTGGTGAAGAAGATTGAGAAAGGAGAGGCGAGCGGGTTTATTGTTTTTTGTTTATTGTTATTGTTTATGTTATTTTTTTCTTTTTCGTGTATACACTGCTGGGGTGTATAGGCAGCTCTTACTTCGGGTCAGGAGGTGCCGGAGGGACGTCCTCCGCGTCGTTCTGAGTATAGAGAAGAGCAGAGATGCGTGCAGCATTAACAACTCCATTGCTCAGATGTACGTGCAGCTACTTCTAGTGCAACCAAGTCTACTTAAAGAGCGCACATCATCATCTAGACGTTTGAGGTGTATGTGCAGCTACCTCAAGTAAAATAATCTATATCTAGAGTAGAAGAGTAGGTATAATTGCATATTACTGCAGCTGCACACTGTGTGCTGCTGCTGAGTAGACAAACATCGGAAATATAGTTCTGTGTGGTCCGGGTGTACAAAAGAAGATTAATGTTTACATTATAACAGCCATAATGCAGTATAAATAATAAAGCCTTCCGATCCAGAGCTGCCTATACACCCCAATTGCTGCAAAGTCACTAGCAGTCGTGCACTGGGGTGTATAGGCAGCAGCAGCAGCAGCAGTTGGTGTGTTGTTAGAGTTCTGAATGAAGCAATCAGTCTTCGAAAATAGATTTAAATAGATGAAATCTTTGATAAATTAAATATTTCTTTTATTTTTCAATGAAAATATCCTCGAAATGCAGCAGCAGAGGCCCCCGCAGAGCAGCAGCAGCCTACGAATATAATGCTTGTGCTTCTTTCTCCCTAGGTGTTAGCAGCAGCAGAAGAAGAAAATAAGAGTCTATCCTTGAGATATATAGGGTTTAAAAGAGAAAAAGGAGAAGAAAATTACCATTTTACTTCAAAATGTTCTTTTTTTCGTGAGAAAGCCCTCAGAAATACTGCAACTTCTCTAATGGAGCTGCCTATACACCCCAACATCCCACCGCCGCCCTGCATAGAAGCTGCTCGGGTACTTATACTTCTTTATTGCTGCTGTTTCATGACATTCTGACGATATATTCTGGGGCTTTTGTTTGAAGGCATTGTATTCTGTTTCTTTTCATGCTTTTATTATGCATGCAGGTACAGTGCATATACACCACAGCAGCACAGCTGCAGCCGCTACCGCACCCAGGTAGCAAGCGGGGGCTACGTTTTCTTCTTTTTCTGTTTTTTATCTGCTAAAGGCATTTTCCCTAAGAGAAAAGCCGCCACAAAGAGCTACATTTACCCTCTGGTGGTGCCTTATGCATGCATGCAGCACGTACAAAGGCATTATAAGCAATATGAAACTAGAGAAAATAATATACACAACATGCGGTTATCGTATAACTTATTATAGTATTATACTAACGGGGTGTACAGACAGCCAAAGGGAGCCACAGCGTCTCCTCCAGGTGTATATTCAATCCAGCGCCAGGAAGAAGAACAGTAACGTAAATACATATATAACTATGTCTTCTATAAAGACATAGAACAATTAACAATATCTTTTATAAAGGCATATATAGAAAATAGTGTCTCAATAAAGACACATAGGACGATGTCTTTTATAAAGACACACAAAAATAACAATATATTATAAAGACAGAAAAATAATGTTTCTTACGTATATCAATAAACAATATCTTTTATAAAGACAGTAAACAGACAACAGTATCTTTTATAAGGGCATATAAACAGCAACAATATATTTCATAAAGACTATGAAAAACGATGTCTTAGTAAAGACATACACCGAAAATAATCTCCTTTAATAAAGACATAACAAGTAACAGTATCTTTAAACAGTATTATGCCTGCTGTCTTTAAAGAAGACCGTAGACAAACAACAAGATGTCTTCTAATGAAGACAGATAACAAAGGCTGTACGCATTTATTTGTTGTGTACAGTCGTCGAAGGAGGCAGTTGTTTGTGCTGTCTTTAAATAATAATATAGTAATGATAGTAACAATAAAGTAATATAATAATAATGATAAAATAATAATAAAGTAATAATTATTATTATCATAATTTTCTAAACTGCATATTCTTCCTGCTGTACTTATACCGCTACATATAACAGGCTGTATAGGCAGCTACTCTCTGCCTTATTAGATGTTTATATATATGCATATATAAACGTCCTTTGCGTGTCCTTGTATATTATATATATATATATATATCTATATATATATCCTTTTACATATTATTGTCTGTCTCCATACATTTATATTTCCCTATAAATTTGCATATTTTAGTTGTGTACTTTTACATAAAATATTAATTCACTCAGTGCCTCTAGGCATGTCTACCTATTATAATAATATATAT